TCCAGCACTTACTCTGCTCTCCAGAATGAAGTGCTTCAACCAATCTCTATCAAATCAGGACGACTTCTCACTCTAAAGCTGCTAACGAGTACTTCATGTACTATAATGTGATTATTAAAGACCCGTTCACACCAAGAACGATAACTAGCCTATGTTTTAATAATGGTTCAAATTCTGTGAGAACAGTGAAGCTCACATAACAACTATAACGATGACGACATAGAGCAGGGGTGTCAAACTCAATTCCTGGAGGGCCGGAGCCCTGCAGTGTTTAGATTCAACCCTAATTAAACACACCTGATCCAACTAATCAAGTCCTTCAGGCTTATTTGAAAACTACATGGTATGTGTGTAGGAGCAAAACTCTGCAGGGCTCCGGGCCTCCAGGAATTGACTTTGACACCCCTGACATAGCATGGCATTCAAACACACAGATCAGCCACATCTGACTGAGGAAAGGAAAAGAAAGTCTAAAGCAGAAGCAGCATTGAAGAAACTCAACCTAAAACACTCAAACTATTTATTAAATATGTTACTATGGTAACAGGCGAGTTCAGTGTTCTCAACTGAGGTCGATAAAAACAATATTTGGCTTTCTGGCGTGCAGAGAGATGATTTGGCATTCATATTGAAACTCAGTCTGCTCGATCACTGAAGAAAACAAACTACAGAGCAAAACAAGGGATGCTAAACAGAAAACATGAAAATGCAGCTGCAGTGTGTGCAATATAATGTTTTCTTCAGAAGATGAGAGTCTCCTGCTGCTTTCATCTGATGACTGCACATTCTGGACATTCAGTAAGACTAAATTTAAACCAGGACTGTCCTCAGTTTCTCTTGCTCCAAGGCCACATATACTGATCATTTCAAAGAGTCATTTGATTTGAACAAAAAATGCAGTTCACAAGCCATTTAATGACACGTTGTATTTCTGACATAAACAGGATGTTCAATGAGAAAGCAGTGTAGAATGAGTCTGGATTTTATTCATTATGAATTGATATGGAAAAAAATAAAAGGGGAAGTCGGCCTATATATATATATATATATATATGTGTGTGTAAATGGGGTATATTTTTGATTCACCTGCCACCAAACGAAAACTCAAAGTGTAATTGCTTTCAAGCATGTTGCCATGGAAGAAATTTTATGCATGATAATTTTTTCAATTATAATGTTCCACAGTTTGCTAAGTACACAAAACCTCACACCGTCTTGTGGCATGCCTGCTGTGAATTTGTGTAAACGGGGAATTTCTGAGATCTTCAATTGTACAAATACTGGACACAATCAGTCTGAGGTCATACATATCCGTCTGAGAACGTTACAGATTTAATCATTTCAACCATCATGATGTTATTCTACACAATTTCTGCAAAACTTCCCTTATATCTTTGCCTATTGGCAACATGATTTTATGAATGCACTGTTTAAATTATTTTAAATGATTAAAACCAAGGATATTCCATGTTAAATGAGAGACAATCTCTATCAACATCTATAGCACACTCAATTTCTTGTAAAGTTTGTATTTTTGTTTTAAGAATGTGTAAGAACGTGTCAGTTAAAAAGGCATGCCAATGCTGTCATTAGATCTCAAGTTGTATTTCCTTTAAAGCTGCAGTGCAAGACTTTGCGGGTCTTGCTTGTGTTTGAAGTTCTGCTGGATGCTTAAAAAATAAATAAAAAGTCATAAACATTCATGGTGCTCAATATTGCAAGCTGTCACACTTTTCAAACAGGGCTCATTTCAGCATCATTTCCTTTGGAATGTCATTGGACGGGCACAATGGTGGCAGACTTGAGGCAGTTGGGGACAGTGCATGTTTTGAGTATTAAGTGAACAGAAAAAAAAAAACATATCTGCAAACAATTGGCAGGCCTAAAATCTACATGACATGAGTGACATCCTTTTACTTGGAAATCTTGCTCATTTTAAACCCTATTAAACACCAAGAATTCTTACAGATTTCCTGAGAGATCATTTTAACATAAAACGTCTGCAATTTCACCAAATTAGGCAAAAATACATTTTGAATTTAATATATTATATCATTGAGAAATAGTTTGAAATAATTAGGATTTTTGAGGAGTTCCTTATGCTCATCCAGGCTGCATTTATCTGATAAAAAAAAAATACAGTGGACAGAAATATTGAGAGATTTTTTTTTAAATAACTTGTCTAATATATATTCAAATATAATTTATTCCAGTGATGGCAAAGCTAAATTTTTAGCTAAATTTTCACATGATCCTTCAGAAATCATTCTAATATGCTGATTTGGTGCTCATAA